ATATCGTTCTAGTAGTCCCTGTAGTTCGGGCGGTACGGCTGCCAGTAGTTTCTGAAAATCTCTCGGCTGCTCTGCTTCTCCCACCAGTGCGATATCCACCGCGTACACGTCAGCTCCAGCGGCGACAACCCGTTTCATCGTGATGGCGTTGAAGACTCAGGTGACCGCCAGCGAGGTAGTACGACCCAATTACCAATACTTCGCACAGTGCAGCTACCCGTCGTCCAGTCAATTCGCGGGTTGTAGCGTCGCAGCCAATCACGTCCCAGTAACATGTCATGCCTATCCAATGTCGTCGCGAGCATTTTTTGTTTAAACCCGAAGTTCCCCCCGTAGCGAACTTTTACTCTCTCCACTTTTTCCCGTATGGCCAGCGGTGTGCCGTCAACTAAGCGTAAGTAGCGGCTAAGCGTCAGTTGCAGTTTCCGTGCAATTGCGGTATTAACTAAGCTGTAGCTTGCTCCTCCGACAATGAAATTTTTCACTGCTGTCCCCTGAATTTTTCCGTAAATCAGTATTGGGCAATCCGTCGTTGTACCCTCCTTATTCATCCGAGCCCGATCGATAGTGTGAATCGGTACTGTGACTCGATGGTCGATGAGGTTGGGCGAGCAGGTGGTCTCATCAGTAGTTGGCCCGTTTTCTACTGACTACTGCCGTTTCCCTGCCTCTGAGACTCCCTCCCCTGCTCTGCTCCGCGGCGCCTCAGCTCCTCTGGGCATTCGCTCTTGCGATGGCCCGGCCTATTGCAAGCAAAGCAGCGCCCCTTGAATGGCGCAGCAGCTGCATTCGTCGCAACGGCGTGTACGGTGGCGTGCTCGGCTGGTCCCCAAGGACGTTGTCCGTAGTAGGACCCCGGTCTCGGACGGCGTAGGATATCAATTTTCTCCACGAGCGCGAGAATTTCGTTGAAGTTCGATAGCCCGCGTAGCATGATCTCGTGCGAGATGTCCTGCTTTAATCCGCCGATGTAACGGTCCACCCGCTCCGCCTTGAGCATGTAGCCGACTTGCTCGTACAGAGCGAGAAAACCGCTGGTGTAGTCTTGAACCGACCCGAGCTGCCGCCAAGTGCGCAGTTTCTGACGCGCCGAAATTGAAGACGCGATCGGCTCGAAGCGCGCCCGAAGCCCCGCGCACCATGAATCCCACGTGCTGTACTGGGCGGTTTCGCAAAATGAACTCAAGGTGACGGCTCGTAGGCACGTGGCTTCATGACTCGCCACCAGTCCATGGCGGGGCCCCTCAGCAGCGAAACAGCATAGCGGATCTTCGCTGCGTCCGACTCGACGTAATTCACGTCGAAGAAAACGTTCATCGTGAAAATTTACGATTGAACCGTCGGACCTCCACCTGGCGAGCGCTGTGGCTTGAGCGGCATCGGTGCCATGACGTCGTTGTTGCCACTCGTTGCTGCAAACTCCACGTGCCGACGGGCTTCGCGAGGCCCCTGCGTGCTTGGTGCGGCCCTGTTCCGTTCCATGCCAGGCATTGATTGGGCGACGCCATCACTGGCTGAACCTGAGCGCTGTCCCACGCTGTCGCGTTGTGACGGTGTGCCGGACGAGATGACGACCGGCTCGTCCGTTTGCGCAGGTGCATTTGCGGGCGCGTGCGTTGGTGCTGGTGCATTCGCCGTTGATTGCTGGCGGGTGAAGTCGCGTTCCGCCGTGCGTGTTGCAATTTCTAGCGCCGAATCTTCGAGTTGGCGCACGAGAGGGTCGAGTTGCTCTTGCGTCAACGTTGCGAGATTGAATTCGGCCATGGCGGGGGTGTCGGGCAAGCTCAGCGAGAGCCTCAGTCGTGGCCCTGCGTGCTTTCGAGAGAGCACTCGAGCGGCGGTGCCTGAACGCTGAGAGACGTCTACCCCCCCAAAAATTTGAGACAGTGGGGAAGCGAAGGTGTGGGTGCGGTCCGAGAAGAGATCATAGACTCTGATACCAAGTGTTACGAATGCAATTGAGTGAGCGAGCGAGAACTGCACCATCGAAGCAAAACAGTACATTGAGCGAAGGAATGAGCGAAAAATATATAGTGAAGCCCAAGTGGTAACGGTTGTCAGAATGTTATTATTGTCTAGCCTGCAGTGGGGTACTCAATAGTGAGTACAGCCCTTTAGGGTTTCCTATTTGTACCAACCTGCCTGCTAGTGCATCCATCCTTTTTCTCATTTCTGTTTCTTTTCTATCATCCTCGCTAGTCCTTGGCGCCTCGTCGTAGTCTTCCTGTGGCCTAGGCTGCTTAGCCTAGGCCCTACTGCTAGTGATTCTGACATGGTATCTAGAGCGAGCATGTTCCTGCCGCCTAGCTTAATGGGCCCACCAACTGCTTCCGCTGCCGTACTGTCCGTCGCGCGCCCCGTGGTGCGCGGCGCTGCATTTTCTTCCCGCCACGCGCTCCGAGCGCGTGGCGGTTTCACCGTCCGTCGAGGCGCCCTCAGGGGGGCCTGCGCGCTGCCCTCCCCGTCGCTCGTCGCGGCGCCCTCAGGGGGCATGCGCGCGGCCCCCCTCCGTCGCCCGTCGTGGCGCCTTCAGGGGGCCCGCGCGCTCCCCTCGTCGCTTGTCGCGGCGCCCTCAGGGGGCACGCGCGCGCCCCCCCCCCCCCCCCGTCGCTCGTCGTGGCGCCCTCGGGGGGCCTGCGCGCTGCACCCCCGTCGTCGACCCTGCAGCTGCCCCTGGCCCCTGGAGCAGCCGCCCCTGCAGCAGCCGCCCCTGGCCCCTGGAGCAGCCGCCCCTGCAGCAGCCGCCCCTGGCCCCTAGAGCAGCCGCCCCTGCAGCAGCCGCCCCTGGCCCCTGGAGCAGCCGCCCCTGCAACAGCCGACCCTGCAGCTGCCCGCGACGCCGCTCCTGGACCGTGTGCAGCCGCCCTGTCTCACCCGCGCCCTCGTGCGCTCTGCTCTGCCCACGCCCTCGTGCGCTCTGTCTCACCCGCGCCCTCGTGCGCTCTGCTCTGCCCGCGCCCTCGTGCGCTCTGCTGCTGCCCGCGCTCTCGTGCGCTCTTCTCTACCCGCGCCCTCGCGCGCTCTGTCCTGCTCTACCCCCCCCCCCCCCCCCCCCCCCCCCCCCCCCCGTCCATTGGATAGGAGGGTGTGGGGGTGGCGGGTGTGGGGGTGCTACGTGTGTGTCGTCCCTTCCTCCTCCTCCTCCTCCGTCTCCCACTGCTGCAGCTGCCGCTGAGGGGGGTGGATGTGTGGGATCCGGAGGAGTGGCGCTAGGGGGGTGCCGTGGTAGTGGAGCTAGGGGTGCAGCAGTGGGTGTGTGAGAGGGGTGTGGGATAGTTGGGGGAGGTTGAGCGGAGGTTGCCGTCGTGTCGTCCGCAGCGCCTGTAGTCCGGGGCACTTGCCGCTGGTAGCTCAGAGAGCTTGCTGTGCCTGTCGCCCGTGGGTCCGTTGCTCCTGCCGCTCGTCGTAGCCGCGGAGCCTGTTACCCCTGTAGTCCGGGACACTTGCCGCCGGTAGCCACTGTGTGCGCGTTCCTGTTGCCCGTGTGTCTGCAGCTTCAGCCGTCGTCTCCCATCTTCTCTCCCCTCACAATTCCTCCTCCTCCTCACTTGCCCTCTACGGTTGCCTCTAGCTTTGCTTGTATTTCTGAACTTGCTCTGAAACTGCCTGCTGTGCTGATTATACCCCACTTATTGTCTAGCCTGCAGTGGGGTACTCAATAGTGAGTACAGCCCTTTAGGGTTTCCTATTTGTACCAACCTGCCTGCTAGTGCATCCATCCTTTTTCTCATTTCTGTTTCTTTTCTATCATCCTCGCTAGTCCTTGGCGCCTCGTCGTAGTCTTCCTGTGGCCTAGTCTGCTTAGCCTAGGCCCTACTGCTAGTGATTCTGACAACGGTAATGTGTGAAAATGGGGTGCGCTATGGGACTAGTACGAGGCTGAGAATTGTCGAGGCGGAGGTCCGGAGCGCAGGTTACCAGCCAAACCGTGAGGTTGGGTCGCGTCGTGAACAGTGGCGAGAAAAGTGGTCGAGGCGAGTTTCGCGAGTGATAACGGTGCACTGTTGAGAGTTGTTGGCGGGAACAGTGGTGTACGTGCTGAGCAGGGACGCGAAGTAAGGAAAAGGAATTTTCCTTACAAACCCACAGCCCAAGAAGCCTGTATATTCCGGAAGCAGGGACGATGTCATTCAGTGGTTTCTCACCAGCACCTACGGTAGTACCGTGAACCATGTGTGGTGCTAGAAGCAGCAAGCATTCTCACCAGCACGGACCGTTTTGTCAAACTGGGTTGACAGGAGCACTATCAAACTAAATTCTTAACACTGGTTCTTAAAGCCCGCATGCAAAATAGTGATCCCCGTCCCAACTTGAATGAGGAGTTGCAAGTGAGGATGAAACCAGTATCAAAAACACTGTTTCAAACGATTTGTATGGGCAAAGTGAACTCATGTTATTGGCTCTCGCCACAATGGAACGTAATGGTTCCCGCCAAAATGAACTTTCTTTCTCATATCAGCCGTCGCATTTTTGCGTGCCGCATCCGCACGACAAACCCCAGGCGATGGTTTCCCATTGCAGGCCCAACCTCATTTTCAAGCCGGTGATGGGTGCATTACTAGATTTCTGTCACTCCATTCATCACTAGTTTCCGCATAGCATAGTAAGTAGTATAGCTGAAAGCACAGGCGTTCGTGTCATAGCCACGTAATTACCGACGAGTGCGTCAATCGTCGACTTAGCAAGAGTGTGAAATGTAGGTTTACATGGCCTGGTAGCGCAGTGCCAGTTTCCCGTCTTAATCAATTTGCCCGACGCCTCGCTCTCTAGTCCGTCCCGTCGCCTTTCCGTCGCCCTCGCAAACACACGCGTGACGGCCCTCCCGTCGTCGTCACGGTCTCCCCTCCCGGTCCGTTATTCTCCCGTTCACCCCTCTTGTCCCCTCGCCCTCGCGATTTCCCTCCGATCCCGTCGCCTTCCCGTTCTCCCGCCCCTCGCCTTCGATGTCCCCTCTTCCTTCCCGTCGCCCTCACTATCTCCCTTCCCTCACGTTGCCTTCGATGTCCCCCTTTTCCTTCCGTCGCCCTCGCGATATCCCTTCCCCCTCCCGTCGCCTGTCCGCTCTCTCTCCCGTCGCCTTTCCGCTCCCCCCGCCATCGCCTTCGTGCTCTCTCTCCCGTCGCCTTCGTGCTCTCCCTCCCGTCGGCTTCGCGCCCTCCCTCCCGTCTCCTTCGCGCTCTCCCTCCCGTTGCCTGTCCGCCCTCCCTCCCGTCTCCTTCGCGCTCTCCCTCCCGTTGCCTGAACCCCCGTCCCTCCCTTCGCCTTCGCGCTCTCTCTCCCGTCGCCTGTCCGCTCCTCCTCCCCTCGCCTTCGTGCTCTCTCTCCCGTCGCCTTCGTGCTCTCCCTCCCGTCGGCTTCGCGCCCTCCCTCCCGTCTCCTTTGCGCTCTCCCTCCCGTTGCCTGTCCGCCCTCCCTCCCGTCTCCTTCGCGCTCTCCCTCCCGTTGCCTGTGCGCCCTCCCTCCCTTCGCCTTCGCGCTCTCTCTCCCGTCGCCTGTCCGCTCCCCCTCCCCTCGCCTTCACGCTCTCCCTCCCGTCGGCGCCCTCCCTCCCGTCTCCTTCGCGCTCTCCCCCACGTTGCCTATCCACCCTCCCTACCTTCGCCTTCGCGCTCTCTCTCCCGTCGCCTGTCCGCTCTCCCTCCCATCGCCTTATCGCTCTCCCTCCCGTCGCCTTTCTCCTTCCCCACTTCATCTCCTATCGCTCACGTCCTCCCCTCCCATCGGCATCGCGCTCACGTTCCGCCCTCCCGTCACCATCGCGCTCACGTGCACCTGTCTTCGCATCGCCTTCGTGCTCATGGCCTCCCCTCCGATCACGTCTCGCGACATAAGTTAAGCTAGCAAGCACGTCTCGCGCCGTCGCTATCTCCCATCACGTTCCGTGCCGTCGCTATCTCCCCCCTTCACCCCGTCGCGCTCGCTGTTTCTCCCCCCTCTCCCCGTCGCGCTCGCTATCTCCCACGCGATCTCATAGCGATCCCCTATTTGCAGTCGCCTACGTGATCTACTCCATTTTCCGTCGCCCGCGATCTCCCCCATTGTACGGTAAATCGCCCTCGCTATACCCCCTCCCTTACCGTTCTAATTCCCGTCGGCCCCTCTCTCTCCTCTCGAGTCACCTTGTCGTTCTTCTGTTTGCTACTTGCATCACTCGGTGTTGTTAGTTAGCTCAACATTGTGTGTATGCTGCGTGTGTGGTGGCAGGTTCCGTTGTGAAATTTGTGATGTGTTGTGCTCGATGCGGATTTGGATGGGTGGGAGAAGTGGAAATGTCATAGCAAGCTTGCGACAATTCTGTGCATGTTGCGACTGAGGGTACATTCCGCTGTGGACACATGTCCCAATCGATGTGTCCCAATCGAGTGTACCGCTCCGAACCGAACTAAACCAGAGACGCGAAAATTTCGAAACTAGGGTGCAATTTGGTGTAATACGATGCAGTGCGGTAGAAACGATTGGGACACATCGATTGGGACATGTGTCCACAGCGGAATGTACCCTGATCGTATCAGAAGTCGGAAACAACTTCAAATCGGTCTTGTTACTACTTGGGGACTTGCCCTGTTCAGAAAAAAACACCAAACTTTCTGGAAATTTTCATGAGCTTTCTAGTGGACCCAACTAGAAGGGGGGGGTCACTATTTTGCATGCGGGCTTTAAAGAGTGAATGTTTTCTAAACCCTGATTTTGAGTAACTGTAGTTTGTGTCTCCTGATGATCGAGGAGTTTCCAATGGAGAAACTAGTACCTACGTATAGCGTTGTCATTCTCGAACACCTCGCTCTAGTTGCGCACGGGCGCGATTTCTCGTTACTCGAGTCGCGTTACCCACACCTGCGGTGGAATTTCTTCATTAACTTTTTCTCGTTGCTCACTCCCTCCCGTCGCTCACGATAGAGTCGCGCAATCTCGCATCACACGCTCTCCACTCGCTCGACGTCTTCGTGCGCCCTCCCCGACGCCCTCACTTCCCCTGCCCATCGCCCTCGTTTTCCCTGCCCGTCACAAAACTGCGCGTCGCCCTCGCGTCCCCTGCTCGTGCTCTTGCCACCTTCCTGCGAATTGACATTGTACTGGAGACACCTCAAATCCGATAACCTTCCGCGTCACGTCGTCACTCGAAACTTCCAACTAGCTCACTCTCGGAGCATTGACTCAGCCCGTCACCCTCATAGCACTTTCTAATTACCGCACTTAGTAAATCAACGATTCCTTAAGTGGTACCTAGCGCAGACTTTCGCCCAGCGCGCATTGACTCAGCCGCCACGCAGGCATCCGCGGAGCCTGGCGGCATCATGGCGCAGCGCAGCACGGCGGCGGGCGTGACGTTTTCGCTGATTGACGAGGACCACACCATCGGGAACTCCGTGCGCTTCATTCTCAACCAGGAGTGCGTGTCGCCTGCTTCTGGTGACGTGTCGTGAGCTTTTAATGACGTGCCGCCTGCTTCTAGTGACGTGTAGCATACTTCTGATGAGGTGTCGCATGTATCTGGTGACGTGTCGCCTGCTTATAGTGTCGTGTCGTCGCTTCGTGTAGGTTGCTTCTAGACAAGTACCCCCCGATTCTTCACGTGTCGCTTGCACTTGTGGGCCTGCTGACGATCGTAAACCCGCTGAACCCTAGATAAAGCCCTCGACCCTGAACCCTAGAATTGGCCTTAAACCCCAAACCTTTTTTCCCCAAATCAATATCCTACAATGTGATTTTTCTTTCCATCGTCCTCATTCTCTTGTAACACGGCCCGCATTCACGTGCAAACCCCTTTCCTCCCGCCTCCTCCCCCACCCCCTGTCCCCCACCATTCCCCCGCCCCTTTTCTCCCTTTCTCACCTTCCTCCTCCTCTTCTCACCCATCAAATGCCCTCCTCCCTTTCCTATCCCTTCGTCTCCGCATCCTCGTTTTATATCCCCGTTACAAGCAGCCCCCGTGTGAGCTTCTGCGGCTACTCAGTGCCACACCCATCCGACAACAAAGTGAACATCCGCGTGCAAACAACAGGTATGGGGGGGGAATAGTGCAAACAAACAGGTGGGGGGGGGGGGGATAATGCAAACAAACAGGTGGTGGGGGGTGTAGTGCAAAAAACAGGTTGGAGGGGGGGGTGGTGAGGGGGGGGAAGGGGAGTGCAAATCACTGGTGGATTTGTGGGGGGACTATACCTTTGCAAACCAGCTATCCCCCCACACCTATCCCCACACACCCCCCCACACCTATCCACGGCTATCCCCCCCACACTTATCCACCCACACCTACGCACCCACACCTACCCCCCCACACCCAACCCCCCCCACACCTACCTCCCCACGCCTTTTCCCCCCCATACTTACCCCCCCACATCTATCCCCCCACACCCATTCCCCCCCACACCTTTCCCCCCACACCTTTCCTCCCACACCTTCCCCCCCACATCTTTCTCCCCACACCTTTCCCCCCAACACTTATCATCCCCCCCACGGGCCACGCCTATCCCCCCCACACTTATAATCATACGCATCTTTATACCCTCACACCCATCCCTTCACACCCATCCCCTCACACCCACCCCCTCACATCCATTCCCTCACACCCATTCTCTCACACCCATCCCCTCACACCCATTCCCTCACACCACCCTCTCACACCCACTCCCTCACACAACCCCCTTACACCCATTCCCTTACACCCATTCCCTCGCACAACCCCCTTACACCCATTCCCTTACACCCATTCCCTCACACAACCCCCTTACACCCATTCCCTCACACAACCTCCTTACACCCATTCCCTCACACAACCCCCTTACACCCATTCCCTCACACAACCCCTTTACACCCATTCCCTCACACAACCCCCTTACACCCATTCCCTCACACAACCCCCTTACACCCATTCCCTCACACAACCCCTTTACACCGATTCCCTCACACAACCCCCTTACACCCATTCCCTCACACACTGCCAGTGCAGGCGACCCGGCAAGGGAGGTGCTCAAGGGCTCATCCCTATCCCTTCGCACATATGCCTACACCCCATCAATACCACCCTTAACACATGCCGGTGCAGGTGACTGGGCAGGAGCTATCCCCTCACACACATCCCTTTCCTCACACATGCCCTTCCTCACATCTATCTGCACACGCCACCCTGCAGGCGATCCGGCAAGGGAGGTGCTCAAGGACGGGCTGCTGGAGCTGGCCGGCTTCTGTGAGCACGTGACACGCACGTTTGACGCCGCCTTTGACAAGTTTGAGCGGCGGCGGCGAGGCGAAGCAGTTGAGGAGGAAGGGGAAGAGGAAGCGGGAGAGGACCAAGGGGATGATGAGGACATGCAGGATGCGTCTTGAAACCGTGCTGCTGGCACAATCTGTCTCGTCTTGTTCGCCCTAGTGCTGTTCGAACAAAGTTTTCCTTGAATGTGCTCCAACCAGGCCTCTGGATAGGATTTGGGGTACTCTTTCTCGTAAGGCCAACACCCAGCCTGTACTCTTTCAATAAGGGTGCTTCACAGGAACTGCTCTTTCAAATCAGGGTGCAAACAAATCAAATAAATCGTATAGTATTTTTACTTTGCATTGTACGTAGAGGATCTAAGTTCGATACTCAGATCGGGCGTCCGACGCGTATAATATGTTCTACGCGACCAATCCTGGTATCCTCTCTTAGATCGAACTCGATTTCATCAGTGCTACTACACCACATAGCTCTGAAATATCAGTGTCGTATAATCGATCACTTTTTTTTGTAAGGGTCTAAAACAAAACCAGTCTTGTAAAAAAGGGTGCATAGTCAAACCCACCCTTATAGTAAGGGTCATAAGGGTGAATCACCCTGATATCGAGAGGCCTGGCTCCAACTGTTGGCCAACGAGTAGTACGTATATACTACCGGTATATATGCTAATCTTGTACTAGTGCTGTAAGTATTCCATCACATATAAGCGATTGATACAGGATTGGATTGAGGTGCCGATGTACTGTTAGAATAAGCAGGCAGGAATGCTGGACTAGGTAGCATGCATGAATACAAGTACCTAACCCTAAAGTGTTGTACCCCTTGTAGCCTAACCCACTATAGCCTAGAGATAACACAAACATACAGTTTGACACACCCCCATAGGCTAAGTGGGAGATGGCAAACACAACAAACGGTCACAAGACCAGTCAAGCAAGAGAACAAGCAAAGCAAAGCAAAACTCAGGGTGGATCTCAAGGACACCACACAGTCTGAGCACAAGCAAGCGGCCACAAGGCCAGTTCACATGCAGAGTTATAATAGCAAGGCAGTACACTGATCACAACCTAGCAAGAGTAAACAAGCAGGTATAAAGATATATATCAGTGTACAAAAGAGCAAGTCAAGCAACCAGCAGGTGAGGCAGAGTGGGCACAAGCCCAAGAGCAGTGCAAAAACGCTGATGATCACCAGCCCCAAGGGCCTTGGTGAAGACATCAGCAGTGCTGGCCCGAGAGGCCACGAAAGCAAGGCGCAGCTGACCACGCTGCTGCAGCTCACGCGCAAGGAAGTAGCGAAGAGCAATGTGCTTCGTTCGGTGCTCCAGTCTCTGCTCGCGACACAAGGCAAGCATTGCCTTGTTGTCGACGTACAGAACTGGAGGAGAACGAGGCTGCTCCCCCAAGTCGGTCAGCAGGTAGGTCAGCCAGCGGAGCTCCTGTGCAGCCATGGCCCCAGCGTAGATCTCGGCCTCACAGCTGGAACCAAGCACAGAAGAAGAAGGAGAGGACCTCCACGAGACAGAACCAGCGCCAAGACTCAAGGTGTAGCCCTGTGACGAACGCTGAGTCGCCTGGTCGTCGGCCCAAGAAGCGTCAGAGTGTCCTATGAGAACCACTGAACCCTGTCCTCCAAGCACGAGACCCATGCCCGATGTGCTGCACAAGTAACGCAGTACCCTCTTCGCAGCATCAAAGTGCACCTTTCGGTGTCGACCAGGTGCCACGTAGCGAGCCAAGAGGCTGAGAGGGTACGCGAGGTCAGGTCGTGTGCAGGTCATCAGGTACATGAGGCAACCCACAAGCTCTGGGTACGGACCACTCGGCTCTACGGACTCGTCCGAAGGTGGAGCTGAGAGCGAGTGGCCGGTAGCCAGAGGAGTGGGCTGTGGCGAGGAGTACGTGAAGCGGAAGCGCTGAAGGACCTAGTGCACCATGTGTGACTGAGTCACGGTGATGGTGCGCCGCGCTCTGTCCCGGGTGATCTGCAAGCCAAGATAGCTCCGCAGCTCACCCAGGTCAGTGCAGGTGTGTCTCTCCTGCAGCTCCGACTTCACTAGGGCAAGTGCCTCAGTGTCAGAAGTAGCAAAAACCAAGTCGTCGACGTACACGAGGATGTTGAACGGCGGCAGAGTAGTGTCGGTGCGTAGAAACAGCGACGGGTCAGCAGTCGAAGGAGCAAACCCAAGAGCCGCAAGTGTCGTCCTCAGTGTGTCGTGCCACTCGCGGGGCGCCTGACGCAGGCCGTACACTGGTCGCCGTAGGCTCCACTGGGTACCTGCAGGAAACGACGAAGTGAAGCTCTGTGGACGGCGCAACCAGATGGCCTCGTGAAGGCTACCCTGCAAGAAAGTTGTCGAGAAGTCGGGGGAGTGCAGCTCGTAGTCACGCTGAGCTGCAACGTGTAGCAACACCCGAAGAGTGGTCATCTTCAGGGTGGGGGAGAAGGTATGAAAGAAGTCGACCCCCTCACGTTGACTGAAGCCTCGAGCAACGTAACGTGCCTTGAAGGCAGGCGGAGAACCCGGCGGCCGCTTCACCCTGAAAATCCACATGCCACTGACGATGTTCACCCCAGGTGGGGGAACCTCGTCGACGTAGGTGCCTGTGGACTTCCAGGAAGCCATCTCTGCGTCCATGGCTGTCTGCCACTGAGAGGAGTACTCACCCGAAATCGCCTCCCTGTAGGAGCGCGGGGTGGGGATGTCAAGTGCATCCGGGTCTCCCTCAGGGGCAAGCAACATGGTCGCGTGATGGGGCGAAGCGGCCGCAAGGTACTCCAGCTCCTCCTGTGTGTCCTCAAGAACGTCACAGCCAAGGGCAGTACAGCCAAGGGCAGTCTCACCCCCGACGGACGGAGGACAGGCAGGGTCAGGGTCAGAGACAAGGCTCGCAAGGTAGTCTAGGCGGTACACAGTAGCAAAGTCAACGAGCTCAGCGACTAAGGCAGACGCAGCAAGAGACGAGAACGTAGGGTCTGTCACAACCGTAGCAAGGAAGCGAGTAACAGTCGGTCTGGACGCACGAGCAAGGTCAGACGGAGGGTCAGCAACGTCAGGAAGAGAGGACGCAGGAGGTAACGGTAGGACAACACGCTGTGGAACAGAGGAAGGACGGAGTGTCATATCGTGAGTGCCCGGAACAGCCGGAGCACGTGGACGATGAACACGAGGAACAAGAGCACGGACAGCCGCTCTAGGCTCGGGCTCAAGGTCAAAGCTAGACTCAGGCTCTCGACGCTCAGGGGTGGAAGCACGAGTCTCAGGCTCTCGACGCTCAGTCAGGGACTGTGTCACCGCAGTGTAAGGAGCAGGAGCAGGCAGTGGGGAGTGCGGTAGCAGTGGCGGCTGTGACTAGTCCGCCGGTGGAAACAGTAACTGAGGAGTAGTACGTGCCACAAGGAAGTCAGTAGCACCTGGCGGAAGACTGAGAAGGTGGCGAAGAGCACCAGTAGCTCCCGTACCTCCAGCACGAGCAGCTCCTCCAGTACCCCCAGCAACACCTCCAGCACCAGTAGCACCAGCACCTCACGTACCACGAGCTCCGACAGCGCCAGCACCTCGTGCACCAGTAGTACCTCCAGTACCTCCAGTGCCTCCAGCTCCAGCTCCACCGCCTCCAGCACCAGTAGTACCTCCAGTACCTCCCGTGCCAGCAGCTCCAGTAGCACCTCCAGCACCTCCAGCACCAGCAGCACCAGCACCTCCAGGGTCAGTAGCTCCAGCACCAGTAGCACCAGCACCTCCAGTGCCAGCAGCTCCAGTACCCCCAGCACCTCCAGTAACAGTAGTACCTCCAGCACTAGCAGCTCCAGTACCTCCAGCTCCAGTACCTCCAGCACCAGCAGCACCTCTAGTACCTCCAGTAGTACCTCCAGCACCTCCAGCACCTCCTGGACTAGTAGCTCCAGCACCAGCAGGACCGTACCCTCCACCACCAGGACTGCCTCGCCGAACGACCCACGCACGAATCGCCTGCGGCAAGAGCGTCTCAAGTAGAGCAGTCTGCGGTGGCTGTCCAGCTCCAGTACCTCCAGTAGTGGTAGCTCGAGCACCTCCAGTACCAGAAGCACCTCTAGTATCTCCAGCTCCAGCACCTCCAGCACCAGTAGCAGCTCCAGTACCTCCAGCACCAGTAGTACCTCTAGTACCTCCAGTAGTACCTCCAGGCCTAGTAGCTCCAGTACCTCCAGCTCCACGACCTCCAGAAGGACTCGCAGCACCCCCAGAGTCAGCACCCGAAGTCTCAGCACCCCCAGAGTCAGCACCCAAAGTCTCAGTACCCCCAGGCTCAGTACCCTCAGGCTCAGTACCCTCAGTCCCAGCACCCGCAGGCTCAGTGCCCTCAGTCCCAGCACCCGCAGGCTCAGTACCCTCAGTCCCTGCACCCGCAGGCTCAGTACCCTCAGTCCCTGCACCCTCAGTCTCAGCTCCAGTGTCCACTGCAGAAGGCTGCAGAGGCGGGAAACCTGGTGGGGTAGCCAAACGAGGAGAGCGGACACCCCCAGACGTACCACCCCCAGGCCCAGCTCCAGCAGCCTCAGCTCCAGAGTCCACAGCAGCAGGCTGCGGAGGTGGCGAAGACGGCCGAGGCGGGAAACCCGGGGGGGTCTCCAAGCGAGGAGTGCAGCGAGTGGTTGCCGTGTCGTCGGCGGCGGTGTCACTCCCCTCAGGTGGGTCAGAGGAGTCAGAAGAGATCTCCACTGGCTCATCCAAGGGGGGTGGGTCTACCTGAGACACACCTGAGGGAGCAGGACCCTGTGGGGGAAGGGGGTCTACCGGGGGGGGGACTGGTACCAGGAAGAGAGGCGCGAGGGGGACCGGGTGGGATGCGTGCGGGTGAAGTCGGTAGTAACAGACCGACTCGTCGAAGGTGACGTCCTGAGAGGACAGAACACGACGCGAGGCAGGGTGGTAGAACTGCCAGGGTGGAGCGTCGGTGGGGAAGCCCAGGAAGACACAGCGGAGAGTGCGAGGAGAGAGCTTGCTCGCTTTGGTATCGCGAACAAGGGAGAGCGCGCCCCAGACCCGAAACGACGACGCATCACCAGGCTGTCCCGTCCAACGGAGTGTGGGCGAGGTCTCTGGAGCAGAGACACGGGGCCAGAGGTTGAG